CTGACTAATTAACATTTGGTAGGTTTCACTATGTTGATATCTGATAACTGACTATATTAACATCAAATAGTTTTGCCTGTGTTAATATTTAGTAAGATTTGACCTTGTTGACATTGGACAGTCTTAACTGTGTTAACATTTTTCGGTCTGAATGTTTGATTGTTCCGGACGAGTTGACATTTGATCGTTCTTACTTTTTACAGTTTAGACCGTGTAAACATGCGATATTTTTAGCCGTTTATCACGTGCTTTTTGCAGAAGTGTTATTTAATAGCTTTAGTCTGATTAAGTAGTTGTAGATTTGGCCGTGCCACTGCAATAGCTTTGGACGGGTTTGTAGTCGGTAAATATGGGCTTCAACTCTGTTTACCACTTGATAGTATTGAGCCTGTGGACATTTTATTGTTGATAGGTAACTGTTTGGACTTCTGTTCATATATTTCGTTTTTTGACATATAAACCCAAGTATAAGTTTTCACGGTGTGAATAGGACGTGACATGATAACGATGGACACAGACATGACACAAATCTCATGATTCACTACCTGAGCTAAAATTACCAGCTTTTCCATAGTTGTTTACATTCCCGCTACGATTATGCAATGCGCAAAAAAATAAGTTTTTCATCATCTATCAAGGTTGTGGAAACGTTTCAGTTCAGAAGAGGGCGTGGACTGTTAGAGGATGTCACCAAGACGAGTATGACACAAACATGAGTGACAGAAGCTGTCTGGGCGCACGTGATCTATTGTGACACTTAGAGCCGAAGCATACAGACCCAGAATGTATCATCTTGTTCGTGCTTACAAAGATATTGCTGTAGTGAGTTCACTGAAAAAACCTTTAACATTTGCACGTGTGGAAAACAAATTAATTAGCTTGTGGAGCACGTTCATCTCGTCGTGTCATAAGAAATCGTTAATTTCTGATTTCACATATATCACCATCTCACCTAATATTCCAAAATGACATCACTATCCATATTTTTTTCACAAATTACTTAGTGTTCCAATATCACATATCTATCTATTATTTCTCATTTTACCGATTTCACAACGTCACGTGACTATCCATTATTTCCAATGATACTGACTTCCTACTGTCACGTGATCATCCATTCTTCCCCATGGTACTGACTTCCTGTTGTCACGTGACTATACGTTATTTTGCCCCATGTCAGATGACTATGTCGTTATTTCTCATGCCACAAACTGTTCCAGTGTCCTGTGTAACTATCTATTTTCTCATGTGACTGACTGTTCCGATGTCACGTGACTTCTGATGTAATTACACATTTGAAATTTTCTCTTATAGCCACATCATTCTCCATTTTATCCTCGTGCTACTGGTTACATGTTTTTTCTCTAAATCTCATATTATTACTTCTCAAAGGTCACATGACTATCTAGCTATCACGTTACCACGGACATAGAAACAAATTATCTATATGTAAGTCCGTGATGTTACTGACTGTCCCAATGTCACAAGGTTATTACTTTGTGGTAAGTTACTTTCCCGTGTCTCTCTAGTTGATATTAATTATGTCATTTTAATGTGAACAGACATTACCATCCATGCAACCGCAATTATATATACAACCGCAATTAAAAATACAACCACGATTATATATAATGATATGTCCGCAAGTGACATTAAACCACAAAGTTATGTAAATTATTGATGACTTGATATTGTGATGTTTTTGTTTTGTAATGTATTGAGGAAAGGGCAACTATAAGTTGAAATAACTTGTGCCCGATCCTTTTGTAAATAATTTACAATAAAATATGTTTAATTCATCCAACCACAAAGACAAACAGTAGCATTAATTAGAACACTTGACTATTACACTGACCACTGAAAACAAACTATAGCAGCTCCAGTGCGAGGGTGTTGCGGCGGAGTTCGCGGGGTGCGGCCACTCTCATTTCACTAGTCAGCAGTACTGTACTGCCCTGTAAAGTTATAGTTTTAGTGAAGATTTCTCGTTTTTAGTCTACTTCTGAATTCCATTTTAAAAGATATACGATTTTTTTATTTCCGTCATTTTTTAAGCAGAAGTCGATATAGGGACGTATTCACGTGTCGTGTATTAATTTAGTAGTTTTAGGGCGTTGTCTTGTTACGGGAAGTGAACAAGTGAAAGTTCTGGATGACTCGTCAAACTCGAATTTGCATTTTTCTTAAGAAGTACGCTTTGAACATGCAAGTGTAATAAATAAAGGCTCAAAAGAAAGACAATTGAAATATGATTCCTCTGTCCCCAGGGACCTACAGTATGTACTTTATAAAGCATCAAGTTACGTTTAATTACATTTTTACTATGACTTCATCATACGTTACGGAAAATTTGGGCAATGCTTAACAACGTTTCTCTACCTATGGAGTTAGATGACCAGCTAAGAAATTGATATAATCTAGTTTCCTAGTTTTACCTTGACCAAGCCAATGTGTCGCTTGATTTCCTGGTTTTTGAAGGATTTCGTTCTTCCCGCCCATAGATTACGTTGTCCATGTAGCGATCGTGATTTTTACAATTAAGTAAATAAGAAACATATTTTAGGAGATGTCTTACATTTAAACTCTTTATACTAGATTTTATGTACCCATGTACATTTTCGTGCTTGTTGATATTAACGTGCATATATTACTTCCATATAATTCGTTACCATATAACAAAAGTTATATCTATATCCACGTGCATCTTTTTAATTACATATCTGTGCATCAACCCCCAAATGATTTGAGACACTGTTACATCATATCATTAATCCACTTCATTCGGCTTTATGCAGTGTAAGCAAGTCTAGTATAAATCTGTCCGTGTGTGTGTGTATATGTAATTCTGGTAAAAATACTTCCCGCAATATACCAGCTACAGAGAATTTCTCTTTAGCTCGGTCGGTTGAGCGTCTCTAGTAAGCAAGGGGTGCCGCGTTCGAATCCTTGCAGAGACATTGGAATAGATAACGACATGTGTTACATTGCCGCCCTCGTAGGGACTCGGGAATAATAGTAAGCATTGCCCCACAGATATCGCTGTAACCATTGGAAAGTCGATGGCGACTGGAAGGGGAGTATAGAGTAACCCTGGTAAATACTAGCCGCAATATGCCACTCGGCTGGAGAAAAAGTAACCCTGGTAAATACTAGCCGCAATGTGCCGCTCGGCTGAAGAGAATGTTACCCTGGTAAATACTAGCCGCAATGTACCGCTCGGCTGGAGAGAATGTAACCCTGGTAAATACTAGCCGCAATGTGCCGCTCGGCTGAAGAGAATGTAACCCTGGTAAACACTAGCCGCAATGTGCTGCTCGGCTGGAGAGAATGTAACCCTGGTAAATACTAGCCGGCATATGCCTCTCGGCTGGAGAGAATGTAACCCTGGTAAATACTAGCCGCAATATGCCACTCGGCTGGAGAGAATGTAACCCTGGTAAATACTAGCCGCAATGTGCCGTTCGGCTGAAGAGAATGTAACCCTGGTAAATACTAGCCGCAATATACCGCTAGGCTGGAGAGAATGTTATCCTGATAAATACTAGCCGCAATGTGTCGCTCTGCTGAAGAGAATGTTACCCTGGTAAATACTAGCCGCAATGTGCCACTCGGCTGGAGAGAATGTAACCCTGGTAAATAAGCCGCAATGTGCCGTTCGGCTGAAGAGAATGTTACCCTGGTAAATACTAGCCTCAATATACCGCTAGGCTGGAGAGAATGTAACCCTGGTAAATACTAGCCGCAATGTGCTGCTCGGCTGGAGAGAATGTAACCCTGGTAAATACTAGCCGCAATGTGCCGTTCGGCTGAAGAGAATGTTACCCTGGTAAATACTAGCCTCAATATACCGCTAGGCTGGAGAGAATGTAACCCTGGTAAATAAGCCGCAATGTGCCGTTCGGCTGAAGAGAATGTTACCCTGGTAAATACTAGCCTCAATATACCGCTAGGCTGGAGAGAATGTAACCCTTGGAAATACTAGCCGCAATGTGCTGCTCGGTTGGAGAGAATGTAACCCTGGTAAATACTAGCCTCAATGTGCCGCTCGGCTGAAGAGAATGTTACCCTGGTAAATACTAGCCTCAATGTTCCGCTCGGCTGAAGAGAATGTAATCCTGGTAAATACTAGCCGCAATGTGCCGCTCGGCTAGAGAGAACTTCTCAGTCGGTAGATTAAATTACTAGATTTTAATACGGAAAGTATTGGGTTAGTAAATTAAGATGTATTTTAATCAGATTGGTAGAGCGCCAGACGAGTAAGCAAGGGGTCCTGGGTTTGATTCCTAGCAGAGGCGTTGAAATATCCATTTATGTATAGCTGATAGGCTTATATCACATATAATGTAAGCATGTAACACTGTATATTTATTACTTAACTGGGTCTATGTCCATTCTAACCTTTGTCCTTTCAACAGACGCCTGTATTATTTGTGAACGGAAGGAAGCTGGGTCCTATCTCCCGGAAGATCTCAAGGAGTGACATCATGATTTAGAACTGTTATGTTCTCTGTTCAAATGTAAATAACTATCACGGATGTAAATGCTGAGTCATGTTACAAAATATTTCTTTTTACATCTGCCCAACGAACTGAATATAAAATATGTTTGTGTAATTCTGATATTGCTCCACGCAACTATAGATGAGCATGACATTAATTAGTCGTGCACACATGTGCGCCGTATTTATAAATGCGCTTTAGACTTATTTTTAGATTGATGTTTCCCTAACTTTTTCTCTGATTATTGTTTTTTTTTTAAATAATGATGCCATGACATTTACGACAAGGTAAACCTAATTCGCTATATTGTTGAAGTAGTCAGGTGTTTCGACAAGGTATTAGGAGTGTGTGTAGTAAAGGGATTAGTCCCGGTAGCCTTTGTAAACATTGTGTGTAGTGGAACACGTGGGTTTCTCGTGGCTCCGTGTTCCTGGTGCAGGGCCTCATTCTCGCCACTCCTATTGATTACTTTCTCCTGACGTCACGACAAACTCAAAAAGAATGGCGGACACTTCCATGCAGACAGTTCCTACTGTCACATTCAAGGAGGGAGCATGTGAGAATAGTTCACGCGTAATTTTGAATAATACACCAAACGACATGATTAGGAAAGTTCCTTCTACATCAAGATTCCAAGTGGACAGGGTCAATTCAGTAACAGACGATCCTGACGATGTAAACAATGCTGTTGATGATGCTGAGTCGCCGGTACATAGAAACAAAGATGACAGCCGACAGAGCTTCGATTCACCTGTATTTGGGTCTAGTCCCCCGGTTTCGCCAACGGATACTTATGCCAGCCATAATTCATTTTCAAATCCTTACGAATCACATTTTAAAACGTTTGGAAAATATACAACCGAAGCTTTACCACACATGGACCACTACAGAAATCTACTTTCTGCTACAACTGCTATGAAATCCAGACCCACTCTAGCAGAACTTCACGAAGAGAAGGTATGTTTACTTAAACTTGTTATTGGATCTAGAATGATAGAAAACAACTTTATTAAAAAAATATATATATATACATTAGAAACGCTTGATCAGGTTAAGCACTCGATACACGTTTTAATTTCCGTATTGTAAACACTTATGTATTCTAAAGTTTGGGGCCAAATAGGATAACACACACACGTGTTCAGTAAAGCGTTGCAGGTCGCTTGTTGATTGAGTGATATTGGAAGTTGTCTGATCAAATGCTGAGAATTTCTATTATTTATCAACAAATGCGTTTTCCCAGTACAAACCGTATTATACAAAGGTACACGTTGTGTTTAATTATAAGACTTTATCATTTACAGTATCCTAGTATTTGGACAATCATCCCTGTTATAATTGTGACATTTTTATGTTGATGGCATTGTTGGCACTCATTTCTTCAATAAATTTTAATGTTCTGTATTTAGAACAGATTACTCTGTAGATAAGTTGTAATCAAATTCAGTGAAAGATACTTTTCAGTAGTAGTTATGTAGCTATTTTTGGTACAAAGTTTTGATGAAACGCTTTGTTATGGGATATAAAGTTGTTCCTGCTTTTAGCTTTGTTATCAGTGGTCCTGCTATTGTTATAGCTTTTCATCTTCACAAAGAGGACATGTAGGAGCTGCATCAATATCGATTGCATGATTGCCATGCTGTTAATTGAATATACCCATGTAATATATTTTCATGTAAGTTTTTTTTATGTCATGTTTACATAATAAAATTCACATTGTGACATAACAAAGCAGATCACAGGTAGAGAACTGAAATGGCCTTAGTTTGACTTGAAAATGATGGTTTTCTCCAATACCTGTAAACCTGACATCACAAAAGCCTTCATGAAAATCCAATATTTACTTGTGTGATAAAAGAATCTTAAATTTGTTTTCATTTCATGTATGATTTATGAAACTTCTTACAAATTATCCATTGTAGCTTGCATTTATACATTTTTGGACTCGCTTCATAAATCGCATATCAAATGAAAACTTGTGAGAGATCTGATATGTATATATATATATATGCCTTCTCCATGTCGCCCCATAATATATTAAGGGATAATCCTCTGTGACTCTATATATAGAGTAACTGATAATCATCATATTGGCTATATTATTACTGAATGTCAATATCATGTACTAGGTTATTTCATTAAAGGGATCTGTTCTAGTTTCCAATCTTTGATCACAAAACTGAATGAGAATCAGTGAACATTTTCACGCTAATTTATTTTACATGAATTTAGATTTTTCTTGAATTTATTTTCAGGATAATGATGAAAATTTTCGCAGCAAAGGCAGGGACAAATTGTTAGCCTCAGACGAAAAACTTGTGGAAGAGGGTCTAAAGAAATCTAAGGAAAAGGGTGCTTTAAAGTTTGGTTGGATAAAAGGAGTGCTTGTAAGTTTCAACATCTAGAAATCACTTGATTTGATATAGCATTACTATTGTTTATTATGTTTAAAAACCCTAATGGTTTGTTTACCTGTAGGGACATTATAAATGCACGTACCAAATATATATACTACACTTTTATACATATCTGATTGTATGTTGGTTTGGTTGCCCTATGAACAGATAGAGTCTGAAGTACAAACATTAATATATCTATAGAACTGCTGTCATACTGTCAGTCATCTATAATAACCTTACAGTATTCTAGGTATATAAGGCTGGGTTTAATTTGCTTTCAACAATATTGAGTGATGATCACAAAATTTCATTGATGGAATCTGTTGCCCATTAATGGAAATTTTAGTTTAATATGATTAAAGGTAGGGCAAGTTTTATCAAATAGACATGATCAGTGCTTTACACTACTTGGAACTAGTGGACAATAAAGTGATCTATTGCGACCATTAAAAGTAGTATATAGTCCTACTGTATGTTATCAGATGTCAGTGTGAATGCCTTTGTACCTTTTTATAGGAATTTTATCACTGCTGTGTCACCTCCTAAGGCCACCTATGTACTATTTATATATTGCATAAACATGGTGGAATAGTTCATGGACAAATGTCATACCCACTGGGAACACATACAATGCATGCAGACAATCCTGTTTATGGAATATGCAGACAGAAGATGTACATATACTGGGTTTCATGTAATAGACTGCCCTGTCAAAAGTTGTATGTTAGTCTGGAAAAGATGGGTAAAAACCATGGAATGTGATCCGTTATGTATAACAGAGTGAGGAAGAGAATATATTACCTGGATAATTAGCCATGTGAAAATGATTAAATGTCTTATTATACTTCAAAACTGAATTTACTGTAAAATAAATGTCAGTTGTATGAATATATATCCCAGGTACTCTGAACACTTGTGGAATAATTTCTGAATGTTAAAAAAGTGACTTTTTAAAATCATGTTTGGAAATTGCAGTTCTGGTCCACTAATGTTATGATAGATGAAATATTTAATGTAGGGATACCAGTATATAATGTTTCATTATCCCCAATCTTGATGATGAGAAACACACTCCCTTTATAAATATATTTTATTTTACATGCTCATATCAGTATATGTACACTTCTTGAGGTATCTTATGATATATTCATAAAAAGAAATTGTCTTCAGTAGGATAATTAATTTGCAATGATAATTAGAAATGATTATAAAATCTGCCCATATTACTGATAGCATATTTATTTCATGTTAAAAGATAGAGATAGAAACTCGAATGACATTTAAAGAATATGTTAATTTGGTTAACATTTTCAGTTTTGTATCGCTGATAAGATCTTTCCATGATAAGACGTGAGAAACCTTTCTAAGGATACAACTCAAAACAAAAAACCAACAAGAAAAAAAAAATAATAAAAACAAAATGAGAGTATCAAGATAATTTTATCATACAAGTCATTTTCACAAGTCATATCAGATAGTCACAGATTGCTTGGTAAACTTTGTTTCACTATTGTACTCCTGACTTATAAAGTAAGATAATTGTCAGAAATAGCAAAACTTAATTCATGTCAGGTACCCAATGTTCATGCGAGTAAATAACAACAAAGAAAGCTTTTAATATTGACTCTACTGTGTTAAAGTCTAGTATAAATTCTTATTCTACTAAAACCATTCAATTAGCAACCCTTTAGAACCATGTTGATGCAGTACTAAATCCTAGCTTGTATTTACATAGCTACCTGAACCACTTAATGATACAATATGTATAGAGCCACTTTGGCAATGATATAATATTATACCCGTGTATAAGGGTTCTTGATTATCTGTGCCTTGTATTCACCTACAGGTGATTACAGGACCTGACCACAGACAGCACTGTGCAGGTACAATCAATCTGTGTGACTTTTATTCTTAAACTAGGCATTATAACACTGACTTGACCCTTGACCATCAAGCTCTAATATTTCAATGCTTTAGTTTTGCATTCCTTCTAACCAGTGTTGCAGATCCACAATAACCTTCCTTACAATAGGTTCATTCACAAGAACCAGCCCTGCAACCAAGACTACCATTATGAGTGATGGTACTTTAGGACACAAAGGAGTGGTCATGATGGACCAGTTGTGATCATGTTGAGCTGGACACAAGCTGTCTGCTTTTGACCAAGTACTATAGTCCCCAAAACGTCTGATACTGTTCCATTTGTAGTCAGTCCTTGGATATGTAAAGTTTAAACTCCATTACGGGATTGCGGTTGAAGTGACTAATCATTTTTTTGCTTTTTCTGTTTCTCCATATAACATTTGTATTCAACACATTATTTAAAGCTTAATTGAAACTTCATTAAAGTACAGATATTAATATTTAGATCACAAATTGAATAGTGAGCTAACAGTTTTGAATAACAGGTATATACATACTTGCTATCTAGTCACATTTTGATATAGAAATGTTTCACAGTTAAATAGTTTCATTTCAAATACAATTCACCCCTTGGTGTTAATTTCAAAATTTCAGAGTGCTGTATTAGATGAAATTTAGTACCATACTTATGTTACTGTATTGAGTAGGGGCCTGTGAATGGTAATAAGCCCAAGCATATCAATTTCAGCAATGCAGAACAGAAAAGCATACAAATGTTTATTGATTGTCCTCTGATCTTAGCCCTTCCCCCTGATCAAATCTGTGTCAGGATTATTTGTTGGCTCCTTGGCTTATCACAATTTATCTAAAAATAGAAAATAATAACCCAAATCTAAATAATGACATTGTAAACTATTGAAGTAAAAAAACTTTATATACTTGACAGTTTTACTAAATGTACTGAAGTGTCAAATTGAATACCCACCATTAATAAGAAATAGTTATTTAAAAGACATCTTTTTAGCAATCAGTGCTGTCAATATGAAACTAGTACAGACAGTAAGCAATTGACTGAATTTATGTTTTGTATATATACCCTTGTCTGTGATTTCCTTGGCCTTGCTTGGGTTAACGATATAGTAATTGCATTTAGGAGCGAAACCATCTCAGACAGAGGGAATTACTGTTCATGTCCAGGCTGATCATTATTAGGATAAAATATCGAAGTGCTTTCCCAGAAAACAAGCTTAACAGTACAGCTTTGCACTGGACATGATCAGTTTGCCTTTGGTCATGCACGCCCAGTACCTGTCATATGCCAAAGTGAAATTGTAATGTCCATGATCTTTCATTGTGATGGCACTTTAAAATGACTTTGAATGACCTCATTATTTTCAGTCAGCATAGTCACCATCTTCATACTGTAGGATCTGTACTTCAGTATAAATAAGAAATAAATAAACTTGGTTTAGTGAAATTTAACATTTTGTCACTCATTGTAAAATGCTATAGTCATGGATATGTATAATGTAAGATTTAAGTGCTATACAATACCATTAAATTGCCTTGAGACAAAAATAAGGTGGTGTCAGCCCTGTGATGTATGCTTTAAAGGTAAAATCAGATATTTAATATTGGTGTGTAACAATAACATAAATATTAGATCTATCCAATTGTAAATGTTAAACATCTCAGTATGAACCTTCAAAGGCATACATTATAGGTCTAAAAGTGATGTATATATTTGTTCTTTTATTACAATTGTTCAGTTTAGAAAACATAACTTTTACAATGTAATTATAGGGCTAAACTTATTAACAAACTGGTACATTTATATGTATAAACATGTCATAAAATGCATAACAAATCACAAGTACATGAAATTTAAAAGATTCTTCCACACAGCAATGTAAGCTAGACAGAAGATTGTAAACATAACAAATTAGTTCCCATTTACTTTTTGTCATGAATCATTTATTGGCCACAACTGCATACGGGCATGATGACTATATAAAGCAAAGTCACCATGTTATACTAAAGTAAACAACTGCAAGGATTCTAAATATGATATTGAAATAGGTAGACATTTCCAACAATGAAGGTATTCGTGTCATCCAGGGAAAATTCCATCAGTAGGTCCAATCTTGCAAAAAATGTCTGAAAGAAATGGTAATCTAGGCAGTGAGAAATACATGGTGTTTATTTTCTGTCTGGTAATCTCAGAACTATGCAGAAAAGGCAGATTTAGTACCAGAGGTCTTGAGAAAATAGTGGTTTTTTTTCTAAAATTCAGATAAATGTCAAGGACGAGAATGCAGCTGATCAATAGGCTTGAGTGTTCAGTGTCCTCTGTACAGAATATACCATATATATCCTTCAAATCTGCAATTGCTCACAGTCCGCTTGTCTTGTCAGTTTATCATTTAACCTCTAACCTGATAATATTAACGTTACTATCTGAAAGATTTCTTTATATATGTAAATATCCATAAAACATGTTTATATAACCTATACACTTTGTAAAAATGAAGTAGCTTTTTTTCCCTTGTCTTATTCTACATAATGATTAACATCAATTGATTTATAAATTATGGGCATAACATAATGAGTACGTTTAACTGTATCACCTCCTGGCTTGGGCTCTAGTCACTAAGTCCTAGTGCTGACCATGGCCTGCTTTTCAAGTAATTTATCATATGACTTTAGTGTGGCACCTCAGATTATATTGCATGAATAGGTTGTCGATATCTCTCAAAGGCAGAAGCTTATATTACTTCTGGCCAATATCGAAGTACCAGCCACATGTATATGTATGTACATATTTGTACTCGTTCTCTAACAATGTAAGCTTGAATTGCCAGACATTTGGAAACTGGCTATATTAGATGATTTACTTCGGAATCTTTTGTGAAAGCTCAGCCAAGGCCATAGCATCTTTTCTGATTAGCCATGATTCTGAGTGCTACCTGTCATATGGTCTTTAAACTATTCATTGCGGATACTTCTATTGATGAACTGTCCGGATCCCCCATCACATTAATCGCAAGGGAAACATCATGAATATGTATCTCCACTGAGAATATCTCCCGACTATATTTTTTGTTGTTGAATGTTTTACAGTGTTCATTGTTTCTTTACAAAAATGAGGTTTCTCAATTATATGCATGAATGATTGATTCATTAAATGAACAAAAAAAAAATAATATGACATTTAAAACCATCTCCAATATAATAACATACGTAGTCAACATTAATTTCTGCTCCCATTAATCAAAGGAATGTTGTTTCCTGCCTTGGTAGGGCAATTCAATGTGTCATCTAGCAAAAGCCTTGTGTTGGTTCCTACTCTTGTTACCAAGTACAAAACCTCCTCAGCTCTGATGAAATTTAATTCTTGTAGAGTGTAATGTTTTTTATTTTCTTTCCTTGTAGTTACTAGCTAGTGCCAGTGATATGTGTATTTGCCTTGAATGAACTGTAGTGACCAGCAGTTGACAATTTTCACATAAATTCTAGTAATGATGATCAATTAAATTCAAAAGTCAATTAATCACACTAAAAACTTTAATCAGTCAATTACTTAATTTCACAATCATTTTGTTTTTATAAACATCTGATAAGGTGAACGTGAGATGAGTTAAGTCTTGACAAAAAACAAAATGAGACATGGACTTGTTAGTGAGTTTTGCATATACATATTAAAAATCAAGACCAAAACAAAACCAGCATAGACTATATAATTTGCAAAATGTTTATTTAGGAAATTAGTAAGAAAATCAGAAATTGTGTATGACTGACTTTTTTGTATTACAGATAAGATGTCTGTTGAATATCTGGGGTGTGATGCTGTTTATGCGGCTTTCCTGGGTGGTGGGGCAGTCAGGGGTGGGATTCGCCACACTCATTATACTCCTGTCTGCTGTGGTCACCACACTCACATCTCTGTCCATGTCTGCCATATGTACCAACGGCGAAGTCCGAGGGGGTAAGTCTTGTCTCAAATGTGAATAACTTGCCTTTACTAGTTCATTTTCAATACATGTATGTCAATGACAGGAACAAAACCAAAGGATATCTGAATGAAAATAGTTGTTTAGTTTTAACAATTAATTGGAAGTCAGTACCACCAGTAAGTTAACTTGCTTCACAATAGTGTTGTATAGGCCAGCTAACCATATGTTCAATCTTGTTCTGAATGAAATTTGTTGAGATGAAAGGGACCAAAATTACTCTTTGCAGTACAAACAATATGTTTATATAAGAGTATGAATTTCAATTAACCAAATTAAAAGGTTCATTGATACAAATGGAATTAAATAAAAACACAGTCCAGCTAGGTAGATATTTTTGAAAATTATGTAGTGAATTTCACTTACAGATAAAAAGAAAATAAAGAAAAACACAAAGCTGTTGTCATATACATGGTGAAGCTTCAATGTTGTGAACTAAATGTATATACAAAACTTCAGTGTCAGAAAGTGATGGGCAATAAAGTGCAATACCTGAACAGTTAGCAGACAGATGTATTGTTAGATGGTAATCTTGTAGATGGCTGGAATGTTAATGAGGTTGCCTTTACCTTTATCACTATATAATGCAAAGCTACACAAACACTGAGGTTTCCATACAATATTCATATTTCAGTAATGTGTAAAAACACTGTAGACTGGGTTTGGAAATGATATGGAGACAGTTTACTATCATTCTAATTAAAAGCTGCTTCTGTGTAGGTGCTATTTCATGTCCCTTGTCTGCTGATTATGCTACAAGTACGGTATTGACCTTGTTTTGCTGCTGCGAGAGGGGCGATTTCATCATCAGTAGTATTGTTAGATTTCCTCATTCTGAAATATTCATGAAATTGAAGTTATAGGCAAGTTTGTTAACAACTATTAATTGAAGGACTTCTGTACATTTCAGGTTATTGCAATGTTTCAAAATTTAAAGATTTTAATTTGTTGTCACTCTAGGTTAATATGAAGATGAATGTTTGTGAAGCTTGTTTTTCTCTAGATATAAAATTCTTCGGTGATGCAGAACAGATAATTTTACACAGAGACTGACATTTTTGATAGATAATGTATTATGGATCAGAAACAGCCATTATGGTTCAGTTGTTGATGTATCACTCCTCCTTCACGTGATATATGTGAACAAAATGGTTGATGTTAGCTGCACCATCTCTCTGAAGATGTATCTGCTTGATGACATCAGCATATTGGTAGGCTGGAAGTTACATTATGTATGTGTGCTGGTCATTTTGTATACAGTCCACCTTGACATGAAAACAGTCTTAACTATAATTCATAAAAAATGTGAAGACTCAAAAACACAGTCAAACAATTGTCAAAAAAATCAAAGAGTGAATGACACAATAGCAAGTTCTGTTAGATAACATGATTGCAGGATTCAAGATGTCTAAACATTTTTCCTTTGTGATTGCTGAAATGGAGACATACACAATATATAGTGATTTTTAGGACTCATGATTTTGTCGTTGATCTCATTCAAATGTTTAGGACCCCCTACAGCATTAAATGATTGGATTTATGAAAATTTTAGGATTGGTGTTCTACACTTACCTGAAAAAAACCTTCAAAATTTACTGATAAATTTGGTGAAAAGTCACTGCTACATTGATATCTAAACATATTACACTTTAAAACTGTTTCCCTATTGATCAACACCATTTTCTGCATTGTACTAGAGGATAATTTCATTATGCCATTAGGATTTTCAAAACATGTGTTCAATTTTATATTTACTGTCAATAAAACTTCTCATGACTGGCACGTTGTTGAAAAGGTGAAACCCCATGGGTAGAAAACAAGTGAGTGCACATGGCTTAAAAGTTTGAATAATCAATACTATTCAAGTTACATTAATATGAAAATCAAATTAAGCTGTTGCCTTAATCATTTTTATCTGTTTTTAGGTCACCTGACACAAAGTCTCATGGTGACTGACTTATTGCAATCACCTTCATTCGGCGTCGTTCGTCCATAAACAATGTAACATTTTTCAAAAACTCCTGAACCAATGAAATTTCTAACGTTCCCTGGCCAATAATACAAGATGAAACAAAATAGTGAATTATATGGTCCGAAGCCCATGGGGGCCTGAGGGGTGGGACCAAAAGGGTCAAATTGACTTGGATTTCATAAATTTTCTCAACACCCAGATATGCTATCAAATGCTCTTTATGGATGGGAGTGTCTTCTGGTAGTTTACCAAAATTGTTAATTCCATGGCCTCAGGGTCTCACATTGCCTTAGGGGAGGGGGTAAAGTTTACTATAGTTGATATAGGAATCATAGTTTTTTCAAAGTTGGTTAGAACTATGAATGAAGGATGAAGGCTAGATGGTATGAATAGATTGATCCTAACTGACCCCTAAGGGCAGTTAGGCAGGGCCAAAAGGGATCAAATTGGCATAAATTTCAAAAATCTTCTTCTCAACACCCAGGTATGGTCCAATGAATTGTTCTTCTAGGATGGAAGGTGCTTTAATTACCAAAATCACTCTCACATTTCTTCCTGACGAGGAGGTTGACTTTACTCTAATGTTTATAGAAAAATAGCACTTTTGAGCATAACATTGTTTATTTCCCACAATTAGTATTAGTATAGGATGAGAGTTTTGATAGTAGGCAGGCTTTCTATCATCATTGCCACAATTTCTTTTTCAGGACACTTGAAAGCTACTTTCCCTTAAATCTTCATACTCAATATTGCTTATCTCAGGTGACCGTAAAGACTGCAAGGCCTCTTGTTGTATGTATAGCTTTAGCTGCCTGACTTAGCAGTTTCCATAATAGGTGATTAAGAAAAGATACATGCAGGAGTGCCAAGTGAAGAAGGAATTCCATGCCTTCATCTTAAATAAATATTTAAAATTTCAATTTCAACACAAGAGTACCTAGGCTGTTGAAAGGGTTTGTCAGAAATTTGAGGGCCACTTTACGCTGTTAGAAATGAAGCAAGTTTAGATGTTGTGGTAAATCTGGTTTGGAAAATGGTGCTTTAATGCACATGGATTGTGTAAAGTGGTAAAGTCATCCAGATTTTAATTTACTTGGCTATTGAAAATATTCTGCAAAAATATCCAAAAGTTACAATAATTATGTCCACATATTGAATGTGTATAGGCTAGGAACTACAATCTACACTAGCAACCAATTTGAATTTTTCAAAGAAGGGTGGAATTTTGTCTGGATAATATGAAACCTATAGCTAGGTTGTTGAGTGTATGACTTAAGGCTTATGTTTGGATAATATGACCTATAGCTGTTGGATAATATGAAACGTATGATATGAACCTTATAGCTTGGTTAATCGTAGAAAGTCTCTGACTTTGTATTTTTAGGTCATCTGAAGGATAGCCATCGTGCTTCGTCCGTCGTCGTGCGCCGTGCGTAAACTTTTCATTCAAACAACTTCTTCTCAAATACTAGAAAGTCTAGGGGGCTAATACTTGGCACAGAGGATACTGGCATGGAGCTCTACCAAGTTTGTTCAAATGAATGACCTTGACCCACTTTAAAGGTCACAGGGGTCAAATATGTTAAAATCTTTAAACATCTTCTTCTCATTAACCAAAAGGCTCAGAGTGTAGATATTGGGCCTGTGACATGCTGGGATGAAGTGCTACTAAGTTGGTTCAAGTGAATGACCTTGACCCACGTTCAAGGTCACAGGGGCCAAATATATTAAAATCTTTAAACGACTTCTCCTCAATAACCAAAAGGCTCAGATTGCTGATATTGTGCCTGTGGCATGCTGGGATAAAGGGCTATCAAGTTTGTTTAAATGAATGACCTTGAACAACTTTCAAGGTCACAGGGGTCAAATATGTTAAAATCTTTAAATAACTTCTTCTCAAATACTAGAAGGCCTAGGGGGCTAATACTTGGCCCATAGCATGCTGGCATGGAGCCCTACAAAGTTTGTTCAAATGAATGACCTTGGCCCACTTTCAAGGTCACAGGGGTCAAATATGTTAAAATATATAAAGGATTCATCTCAATAAGCAAAAGTCTATGAGTGCCGATATTGGGTCTGTAGCATGCTGGGAGGAAAGGCTACCAAGTTTATTCAAATGAATGACCTCTACCCACTTTCAAGGTCACAGGGGTCAAATATGTTAAAATATACAAACGACTTCTTCTCAACAAGCAAAAGTCCATGAGTGCTGATATTGGGCCTGTAAGGTTTGGCTTGCTTTTTGTCAGATGACCGTTAAGGCCCATGGGCCTCTTGTTGATTGAGAGATGCCTATCATTTCCTCTACTTTACTCTTAATTTTGGTAGTCAATTAGGGAAACTGAAGAGTACTTGCACAAGAGGGTAGTTTGGAAGAACACAATTTCTGAAAGCCATTCAAGTGATCTATAACCTAAGTGAAGAGATTACATTAGGAGAAGACTGAACTATTGACGTTAATGGAGATATATTTAGTTCCTGGTGTTCTAGTTATAATCAGAACAACCCGTAATCAGAGAGCTGATCATCATGAGATAAGGTGGGTATAGTGGAAGAAAGTCTTTATACATGTTCTGCATCATCATCTTTTAGTTCTATTTCCAGTATCATGTCCGACTGTCATTGTTAATCAGTATATAGTATTTATGGAAGAAATCTATTTTAGTGAGCACTGGAAACATAGTGACATTTTCATAGCAAGGCTTTGTAAAACAAGAAAATATCATGAATAGGGTCATAGGGTACAGAATTGATATTTCATTTTGTTTATTTAGGTTTTTGGAATGAAGATCTCTTTTTAAAAATTGTTTAAGAAAAATTATGAACCATTACACACATGTTTATACCGTAAAGCAACATATATTTGCTCCTGGTTTCTGAGAGGTGTTTTAACCAGTTAGCATACAGCAGTATATTGTGCATGGTATCTGGCTAAGTTTAACGTCTTCTCTGAAGTGACCCAGTTTACCAAAGTTCTTAAAGCTTAAATGAATTTCCCATACC